GGAGCCAACCCTGTTTGTTCTTATGCTCCTCAAGACGGCTGCAGGGAGCCAGGCAGCCAGGCAGCCTCTTCTCTGATGTGCTTGGCAAAGTCCCATTGTTCGTTCCAAAAGAGCAGTCCCGTCTGTGTTCCTGAATGCCACGCAGTACATGTGGAGACCTGGCAAACCCCAGAGGGAGCGGGGCCAGCGTGGTAGAGAAATCTGTTCTGTACTGTAAGCCTGTTGCCTGCCATGACATTATTAGCTTTTCTCCTCTCTGAATCATAGGAATGGGATAAGTGAAGTGTCTTTTTTTACTATGTGCAGTGGCGTGTGGAAGTCATCTTAGTTTTAATGTGGCATGCTTCCGAAGATGGCTAGCTGCAGGGTGATGGCATTGTCTTGCAGCTGGAGGAGACTTGGAACGCAACATCTAGGTCTGCCCTATTCCAGGGAAATTACAGGGTGTCCCCAGGGCCCACCCCTCAGTGCCAGGCAAAGGATGACGGGAACAGGGGTGCAGAGGCGACTGAAGTGTAGTCCCTGCCCATCTTGGAGCCCCTCCCATGCCCCCCAAAAAATAGGGCTGTAGAAGCATGCTTAGCTGACTAATAAAGCTTATCAGGCGTGGTGGCAGATGTGTGGGAAAGAGATGAACTGCACCCTAAAAAGCTTACTTGACTTCATTCCCTTTGTTCACTCCAAAAGAGGAGAAGGCGTGCTAGGTGTGGGAAGAGGCCATGTTAGGTGGAAAGTGCCCCCTGTGCAGGGAGCCTGGCTAGTTTGGTGTCTTGGTGAACAAGAAGGGCACCACATGAGGCAGGAACGGGACTTCGTGTGGGCACAGGATATTTATTATTCATTATTGAGAGATTTATTTATTAAGCTGGTGTCTAAGCCGCTTCGTAGGCCTCCAGCTGCCATCCCTCCTCCCCAGAGGGTCTGTTGAGGAAGTAGCCCTTCTTCCCGGGCCCAGGCCTGAGCCGGCCCGTGGGCTAGGGTGGGCGTGGGTGTGGGTATGGCCACGTCACAGAGGAGGGAGGGGATAGAGCAAAGTCCGTGCTGGCTTTCGGTCTTAGGGTTCTGTGTGGTTTTGATTGTTTTTAATAGTTTAGAAAAATTGTCAGCTTTTCTAGTGTCAGTACATTGGGTGAGATCCTGATACCTTTCATGGCGGTGAGCTAGTAGAACTAAGTCCTGCTGAAGTTACAGGTCTGCTTTTGTATGTTCTATTCTTAGACCCCTGACCTGGAGCAGCTGGAGCCATCTTTGGAAGACGTGGACAGCATCCATGATTTTGAGCCCTTGTTTTCCGAGGAGACGCCTGAGGTGGAGAAGCCGGTCACCACTGTCCAGGTCTGACTCCCGCAGCCTGGCCATGTCCACGCAGTGCAGCTTGACCTAGAATGGCAGGTCTGGGCTAGTCTACCTCTCTAGGAAAATTTTTTGAGGAACATTTTCAGTTCTGTTTTTTAGAGACAGAAGTAGCAATATTAAAAACTTCTGAAGTCAGAGGTTTTTCCTCTCTAGATATCGATTGGGGTTCTAGCACCAGGGTCCGTGAATCTCTGGGACTTGGTCTGCCTGTAGAAAGAAACGTTCTGAACAAGTAACTGGGGACTTTAGACCTGAAAGCTAGCTTTTCATTTTATTAGTTTCCACTGGCTCCACTGATAGTTAAGTCCGTCATTGTACTGAATCCTCAGCTGGTCTCCATTTCTAGCATGGCAGTGCTAACCCGAGGACTGACCTGAGTGTGAGCCACATCTGGAAAGAAGCTTCCGGCTGGCAGGGAGGGGGTACTGAGCATGCGCTGGGCAGGAACCTTGACTTCTGGTGCCAGGCCTCTCTGCTGCTGCTCTTCCTGGGGACCATTCATAGGTACTTATAATTCAGAGGCTGAAAAGAGGTAGAAATTTGAACTCTCAAATTGAGAGTCCCAAAGAGGTTATTCTGGCATGCACAAAGGACAGAAGCAATGCTGGACTGAGGAATGCAGTTTGAGGAAACGGGCAACGGGGATGTTTGTCATGATGGCCTAAAAATACCTTCTAAACCTTGGGTTTTTAAAGCCCGTCTTTAACTTGGCAGCATATCATCAGCTGTTTGTTGGGACAGAAAGAATTCGAGCTCCAGAAATTATCTTCCAGCCGTCGCTCATAGGAGAAGAGCAGGCGGGGGTGGCAGAGACGCTGCAGTACATTCTGGACAGGTGAGACCGGGGCATGTGCCAGAACCATTGCTTGTGTTCGCTATTCAAGGTAGATTTGGTGACCGGGCCTTTGGCGTTCCAGCTCCCTCGCCTTCCCTTCGCGGCCTGTGCTCGGCGGTACCTTTCCCCTCACACTGCTGTGGCTCTGTAATTCCCTTCTCAACACACCAGTGCTCAGTTGATTTGAGGAGTGTGAAGAGTTTCTTTCACACTTGAGCGGCAGCTTCCTTGTGCATTGATCTTCCTAAAACCTTTGCATCGCCAATGACTGGTTATGTAAAATCATACTAAAAAAGTTGCAGTGCTTAGAAAAGTTTTTTTTTTCTTTTCAGGAATTCTGTTTAAGAGTGCATTTCTCTAACATATCCCTGTGCCATCCTTTATACAGGCATTTTCTTGCACGAAAGCATTTTCATAACTCAGGCTGGATCTTAGAGTACATGACTCATAGCGCTCTGGCTACTGTTGGTTAAAACAGAATGGAAACTTGCACCGTGCAAGAAGACAAACTTGTCATGGCTACTTTGGGTGGCTTTCAAGTTTGTCTTAACCATGACTGAGGAAGTCATGCATGAAATACATTTGTTCTTTAAAAAAAGAAAAACTTGGCAGTGGAGAGGTGGGCCCTTAAAACAGAGGCAGGACTTTCTGGGTGATAGAATGTTCTGTGTCTTGATTCTGGTCATGGTTACTGAGGCATATACATTTGCCAGACTTCAAACTGTATGTAAGTCAGTCTTCAATAAAATTAGAGTTTTTTTTTAAGATTTTAAAAAATTTATTTATGCCTACAAGAAGTGGGGTATAGGCCAGTGGTATGGACGGGAAGGTAGGGGTGAGAGGATTCACCAGAGACAGTGGGGAGCCACACAGGCAGATTACTAAAATGCCCTGCTGAGGAGAGCAGCGGGTGAGACAGGAGAGGTCTGCTGTGCCGTATGGGTCAGCTCCCTGGCCAGGGATCGAACTCATGTTGTAGTGTCCACTAATAGTTTCAGAATGATGAGAATTAACCCTCTGCACCTCCTGGGGGCCCCCTAATTTCAATTTTTAAAACACTTCTCAGGAAGGCGCAAAGCTGCAAGGGAAATGAATCTCGCATTTAAGTGGAGGTGTTGCCTAGCTATTTGGCGTTCTGTAAAGAACGCTGAAAAAAATGGAAAGCTGAAAAATGGAAGTTTCAGCTTTCTGTGTAGCTGTTTTCTGGCTTGTACTGAGCTCGAAGTTCCATATCTCCATTCTCTGCTGCTCAAGTTGGAGGGACAGTACCAGGAGTCGTTTGTCCCCTAGGTACTCGAAGGATGTGCAGGAGGCGCTGGTTCAGAATGTCTTCCTCACTGGCGGGAACATGATGTATCCTGGGATGAAGGTGAGAATCGAGAAGGAGCTGCTGGAGATGAGGCCCTTTCAGTCTTCTTTCCAGGTGCGGATTGTTCACTGACTGTTTTGAATATATTTTACATTGATTTTTTTTTTTTTCTGGTTACACAAGTGAGAAAGTATAAATGAGATTTCCACTGTTAGCATTTTCCTGGCTTTCCTTCCAGTTTTTAGTCTGTGTTTAGTTTTTAATGCAGAATGGGAATCACTTTATATACTTTGTTTTTAGTCATTTGATAGAGACTTGCATGTAATACAATTCAGAGGGCAAAAGAGCATACATTGAGAATAAGCTGCTCTCGCCAAGATGCTCGTCCTGCTGGCTCAGCTTTCCTTTCAGACGCTACACATGAGTGTTTGCTGCTTTGTAACCTGAATTTCCTTACACTTTCTCATGTCCTTATTCTCCTTAAAGAATGCTTATGACCACAGGGTACAGATGCCCTATAATCGATCGACCAGGTCTGTGATCACCAGGAAACACGGTCTGTGGATGTCCTCGCCGCAGCCTCGAAATGCAAGCCACTCACTCTCTGAGGGCCGCGGCCAAGCACACAGGCTGGGGGGCCGAGCTGCTGGACTTGCGGGCGGAGGCACGGTGCCACAGGGTGGGGTTGACCTGTGACGACATGACACAGCCGAGGAAAAGGGCTTTTAGGATTTTGAAGGTGGATTTCTTAACATTCCTCAAGTCTTTTCTGTGCGCTGTGAGCGCGGGTCGCAGGAACGCCGCTGGCCAGTGGGCTCGCCCCGGCCCTGTCTCGTAGCTGTTTCCGGCCAGGAGGCAGAGCCCCTCTCGAGTCTCCGCCTCACTGCTCCCACACTCCGCAGTGTGAGAGTCCTGCGAGATTTCAGGTCGAGCATACAGCGGTGACTCAAACATAAACGTCTACGCCCTCGGGTGTGTGTGACTTTACCTGCTTTCTTAAACAAGTCAAGTTTCTGTTGTTTTTATCTCATTTAACCATTTAAAAACATTACTGAAATAGCAGCCAGTTTAAACCAGTGAAAGTGGAAAAACACTTCTAACTCAGCCACTGTGACCAATGTTGTATATATAGGTGCATCTTTGGGTCAATTTCAAGTATACGCATATCATTAGAAAACAAAGATTATTGATTGCTTGTCTTGCAATCTATATTTTTTTCAGTTTTCTAATTATCGTGGCAGTTTCTTTATCAGTAAGTCTATTTCTAGTGCATCCCTTTATGGCTATATGATTTCCATTGTTTGTTCTGAATATCGCCATTGTTTTACTGGGAATAATAGTAACCACCATTTATTAAGTACTCACCCTATACGAGGAGTGTATCAAGAATAATAATAAACTCATTCTTTCAACGACGCTAAGCCAGAGCAGGAAGGAGGCTTGGTACCTTAATTCTGGCTGTAGTCAGTATCACGAGTCCCTTGCCTGCGTCATCCCAGGCAGTCAGTCTCCCCCACTTGTGGGTTTATCTGCTTCATCTTTTCCTCTCTGTGCCACATGACACTATTTGTGTCATCTGCCCTTAAATTAAGAAAATTCTGAGGCCGCTATTCTAATTTGAAGCTCTAGTGGTCAGGTGAGGGAGGGAAGCAGCGAACAGGGAGCCTGACTGGAATGGTGAGCGTGCTCCCGGGAATGGTTAGGCCAGCCTGTTGTAGTGGACTCAGCTGCGGGCCCCCGCCTCAGCCCGGTAACACGCAGCGGAACCGGCCGGCTGCATCCCGGGGACGCACCCCGTCATCCTCCGCCATCGTGGCCTCGGCTCCCCTCCTCTGGCAGCAGGGACTTCAGGGCCTGGAAGACCTTCCTCTGCTTCCAGTGCCAGCTGTGCTTCCCCTCTTCTGACAGCCTGTGGCTGACGGCAGGCGTTGTGGAGCATGTGGGGCAGCTGGCCTTGTTGTGACCCCCCCGAGGCGGGTCTCGGCTCAGTGACTGACACCTCGTATTCGGAGCTGTCGTATCCTCGTGTCCCCTCTGAGAGAATCCGGGCATCACAGCTCCTCTTTACTTAGGGGGGTGCAGACATAGGCCTGTGCTGCTTGGAATTGCAGGGGCCTCTGTTTGATGTGTTTCTGGGGGTAAGATGCAGAGGGCACTCGCCGGCCTGCTGTGCGCCACTCCCCGAGCGCTGGCGGGAGGCGGCCTGTGGTGAACCTTCTGCTTGTGTTTCAGGTCCAGCTTGCCTCCAACCCAGTGCTGGACGCTTGGTACGGTGCTCGTGACTGGGCCTTGGACCACCTAGATGACAATGAAGTCTGGATCACCAGGAAAGAATATGAAGAAAAGGGCGGCGAGTACTTCAAGGAGCACTGCGCTTCAAACATCTACGTCCCCATCCGCCTGCCAAAGCAGGCCTCCCGCTCCTCAGAAGCCCAGGCTTCTGGCAAAGGCGCAGCGGCCAGTGGAGGTGGTGCTGGCGAGCAGGCGTAGCAGAGGGGCCCCGGGGGCGAGGGCCAGTCGGTCGGATGATGGATGGATGCCAGAGGTGTCCGGCCTGAATCTGCTGGTGACGTTTGACTGCAGGCTGGATTTCTCCTGGGGAGAACAGTTAAGGGACACTGGGAGTTACCTTCAGGACGGAGTGCGTGTGGGCTTCTGTGGTGAGGAGTGGCCATTGTGGGAACCGCGAGCGAGCTGTGCAGCTGCTTCCTGCCGCACTAATGAACACAGGGTGCAGGACGGCTGGGCTTATCTCTTACTGCACTTAAAGCCTCCGATTTTGTTTTGTAAAGTGCTTTATATTTTATATTGTCAGTGTAGATATTTTTCTGAATTCAATAATTGTGTGAAGGCCTTTCAGGCAGAGGTCTTTCACATACATAGAAAAAGGTCCTGTTCATGCAACGAAAGCAGTTGCGCGCAGAATCTGGTGGTGGAAACCCGCTCCCTCCTCCCGTTACTCCCCTTTCACATGAGGGAGAACTGAGTAGAGTACTCTGCCAGGGCTCGCCTGGTGCCCTTTCTCCGTGGCGGGAATGAGGCTGGCATCCACCTTTTGTTTATGCCTCCCTTGCTGGAAACTTTCCCAGCATCTGGGGCCTTCCTGTCAGTTTCAGATTTTTGACTGAGTTTGTTGGCTGCTTCCCTTTCTCAGGCCTTTCTGAAGAAAGAGACTAGAAGTTAGTGCTGTAGGTAGCAGAGGCTGCAAAACCACCTTTGCAGTTTTGCCATAGTCTCGCCTTCCCTGCACCTCTGTGTTAACGGGACAGTGGCCCCTCTCTTGTGTAGACTCAAATACACCCAGTCATTCCTCTCAGAAGGGCCTTGAGCTCTGTCATCCTTGTCACATCTGTACAGTCACAGGACTGTACATTTAAGTCCCATGGAACCTCAAGCCCGCCGTCCGCAAACTGCTCATAGGTGCTTTCTGGTGATCACCAGTACTCAGGCTAGACACTGGAATCCAGCAGGGGGTCAGTGGTGTTGGAGAAGGTGGAAGTCCCAGGGTGTCACCATGAGCCGCTGGTGAGACAGGACAAGCACCCGCTGCTCAGAAAAGGTAGGTGTGAAGAAGGCAGGGCCGCCCCGGAAGGAGAGCAGGAGGTGTTTGCATGTACACTTCCAAGAAGGGGAGCTGTCGAACGGCTGCTGGCCCTGGGCTCTTCTCCCAGAGTCAAGCTTCCAAAAGTCTGAACAGCAGTGGAAGGCCAAGAATTCTTTGGAGGCCCCCCCCCCCAATGGGAGGAACCCTGGGGGCAGGTAAGCAGGGATGCATCATGATCAAAGGAGCATGAGGCCGGACCTGCCCAGGGTTCCTGCAGACTGGGGGGCCCCAGGCGGAGGGTTGGTTTTGTGAGCGGAGGTCAAAGGAGTGAGCCAGAGCCCTGCAGTTTCGCCTCCTTTGCAACCCGCCCACCCACCTTTGTGGGCCATCTCAGGCATCTGCTTGCCCTTGCTGGGCACACCAGGCAAGAGCCAGCTCCTGCAGGGTCCCCAGCACCTGGCACAAGCCACCACAGTGCTCTGGGCTGTATCTCTGCGCCAGGATGGCTTCTTCTGAATTGCAAGGTGTCCCCCCAAAGCAAGTAGATCAGCTAGGAGTACCCACAACCTAGCACTGGATTTGAGGGTGCTGAGGACTCAGGATTTTTAATGAGTGACCAACTGGTTGCATAAATAAATCACTGAATAAAGGAAATGTGACAAGTTTGTCCCCTCCATTGAGAGGAACACATCAGGAAGCCCTGCTGACTTCCCCTCTGCCACTGAGCCCCGTTTCTTGAGACACCTTAAAATAGCCTGAATGCATATTAAGCGCAAATGGGCAGAATCGTGGCATGAAACTGGCACGTGAAAAGTGCTGGAGAAGTTTGGACAGTTCTGGTTAACGATGGGCCTGTGTGGGGCCTGCATCTGGGCAGGCTGTTCCTGCCTTGATAGCGCAGCCATGAGATTGCTTAGTGACACGTTTCTCAGGATGGGTCCCCTAAACAGCAGTATTTGGGAGCCCCGATGCCTCCAGGAGAGGGCGGGGACTGGTGCTTCCAAGCCTGGTAGATGCAGGCCCCTGGCAGAGCAAAGGAGAACTTCAGGTGGATTGGAGGATGCTTGCACAAGCTGCAGACTCACCAGGAATGGGGAGCGGCAGAAGCCCAGGAGCCCAGCTCTGCTCACACCTTGGTATCCAGGACCGTGAAAACATATTAGTTGCTTTCAGCACCAAGTTCGACATCACTGCTTGGCCAAATTTGAGTGGGGAGGGTTAAGTGTAAGGAATCAAATCCTTTGCCCGAAAGATGGAGAGGAATCCTGCGTGTTGGGTGACAGCAAAGGCTTTCCCCCAGGCAAGGGATCTCTGAGCTCCTGCCCTCAAAAATGTGCCCTAGTTGCAGAACCCACCTCACTAAAATGCCAGCGGGGGGAGCCCTTGAGACAAGGAAACCACCAGGCCCTCTCCGGCCTGCTTCTCGCCCACATTTGCTACTTAAAGTCACTGAGGTAAATCTGATTTACTCAAGTAAGAACATTCATAAACTGCAGCATCCTTATGGGGATACTGTAAGAAAAGACCAAAACCAGAGAAATTAAATTAGAGCATTTTAGCAAATAAAACACCCAAAAATGTTACCACGGGCACAAAAAAACTAATGCAGCATCCCAACATGAGTGAAAATACACATTCTAGTGCAAGTGTGAGAGATGAAATGTATGAAAGTGCATGAAATGAAAGAAAATTGAGTGGAGTTAACCAAGGGACAGGGTGGTGTTGAGTGTTGAGATGGGAACCCAGAAACTCCCATGCAAGATGCACAAGAGGTGAAATCTTATCCTAGGAGAAGAAAAGAAAGAAGAAACCAAATGAAGAGAAAGATGTTATAAGGAAAGATGTAAATCACAATGCTAATCACATTGATGATGGCTGAAGAAAAGTCTACATTGAATTTTTACATTGAAAAACTATGGAACAAACATTTAAAATGGTGATTCCATAAAAATTTCCTCCTCCCCAAAGAAAATGCCCAGGATGTAACTACTGTAAGGGAACACTGCATACAAGGGGAATTACCTTAGAAGTGCCTAGGAATTCTAAGTCCTAGTAATTATGTCAACTCTAAACAACCTAATTAAAAAAAAAAGTCTAAGCCTTTAGGCAAAAAGACAAAATGGCTTAATAATGAAAGGTAGATGATATAAAATTTTAACATCAAAGTTGACAAAAGATTGAATTAATTAGAAAACAAAAAGGTAAACCTTAAAAATTTTAAAAGCTGCTAAAAAAACTGTTAGAAGACCAACAAAAATTTAAAACTACCTAGAAAGAACAGAGAAAGCATAGATACGGAAATGACCAAAACAGCATAAATACACTTAAGTTCTCAAAACAAGAAAAATCAACTATTTTGTACAAGTCTTTGAAATTTCACTGGAAAATCTAGATGAAGAATGTCTCAGAGAATACAGTTTTGACTGGCCCTGAGAGTCTAAGTAGACCTATTTCCATAGGTGAATTAAAGAAATTGCCCCAGAACTGCCTCAAGTTCCAGGTTCAGTTAAGTTCACAAAATTTATCTTCACAGAGCAGACACTGCCAACATTCCTTAAGCCTTTCAAAGCATAGAAAACAAAAGAAATCACCAAAATTACTTGGAAGCATAATATAGTTACCAAAATCTGATAGCAAAGGGTAGACCAGTCTGAAAAATTGCAAACAAAACAAAAAAGCTACAACCGCACAAATAAGATCTTTGAACAGAATCCACCAGCACAAAAAATCAAAAGTGAGCAAATGTATCCATTAACGTCAACCTTTCTGAACTTTACCAAGCTTTGCATCTTGGACTATGTCCAATAAATGTCAGGATGTGGGTGTAGCTGGGGCACATGGTTCCACCTGGTCACGCCACACTGTCCTCTGGTCCTGCCATCTCCACACAAAACCTGGAAGGAACATGGAGAGTCAAGCCCAAGCTCCAGACGCTTCCATCCTGGGCTGGAGTCACCCCCTACACAGATGGCTTGGCCAGAGCACAGCATTAGATGTGTGCAACCGCCCAGGATTGCATTTACTTCCTCATTGGATAGCATCTCCGTCTGGTATTTTGTGGGGTTGCTGTAGGGGTGACTTGATGCCACGTGAGGATGTTCCCACAAATAACTCAATTTCCCCACTTGGGTCCTGTGTGCTGGTGGTGTCATATATTTTACTCTGAGCTGTGTTGAAAATCTCACAATGCATTGTTGATATTTCTTATTTAGTTCATAATTTGGAGAAATCTAAAAAGAGGACCTTTTATCTACACATCTACTCGTGGGTACAGGAAAGTGGGGGTGGAGGAAGGAGATTTCCTTGGCTCTGGTCTCAGCTTGGATATTCTTCTCAGGAATGCTTCATAGGATGTGGGAGGAGCCTTCCCTTGTGGCTGGCGCCTGCTAGACAGCTTTCTGGAAATGTTCCGGAGCAAACGCTGTGGGATTCTCCTGGCAGCAACCTGTCAGCCTGGACAACAAGAATTGGGATGCGCCAGCTGCTTGGCCCTTTCCAGCCTAAGGAACGTTTTCACACACCTGGCAGAATCAGGCTATCGCTTGCTGGGCAAGCACCCAAGAATTGTCTGGGGACAAGGGTGGTGGACATCTCCCCCACCTGGATTAACCTCTGGAAATTCGAGCTTTATTTGTAAGGGGAGGAGGTTTTCCTGCTGATCATTCCCCAGTTCGGGGCCCTTCGTAGAAATCTGGCCTGGTTTTCGTGTATGTATTAATGGCCTCCCGGTTGGACCAGCAGTCTCTGCATCCTGCTCACTGTTAGTAGGAAAGGGCATTGGGAGAAGGTGAGGTAGGTCCTCTTGTCTGTTATCCTTTGTCAGTTATGCCTTTGGCCACAGCATTTGGTACACTCAAATGCTGAAAATATTCTGAATGAAATTGACCAGAATATTCAGAGGCCCCAAGGAAGGGGGGTGATCTACCCTCTTTTTCCTGACAGCTTTCAGCTTTAACATCAGATTCTAGGTCTGCCGACAGGGAAGTTTCTACAAGGCTTTGCGCTACACTGGGAAGTGCTTGCCCATCACACCCCGTCAATCCCAGTGTCTCCCTGGAGTGTACCAAGCTGTGTGCAATGGAACAAGGTGGACGAACAGACCCTTTGGTGCCACTTATGGCTCTCTGGGAAACATCAACAAGGGTAGGGATGCAAACTCCAGAGTTTTTGAATACAGGGCTGATTTTGGAGCAGGGCCAAATTTAAGATCTGCCAGTGGGGCCTGGTTGGATGACAAAAGACAGGTATAGACCGGGAAGCCTGGTTTGGCTCCTGGTGAATTCTGGAAACAGAATCTTAAAACTCCCAATTGCCATATTCTCTTAAAAGCCTTCCAAAATGTATTATCTTTTTTTTTTAAAGATTTATTTATTTATTCATACAGAACTGGGGTACACGCCAGAGATGCGGAGGGTGAAAGGCTTCACCAGAGACAGAGTGGGGAGCAGAACAGGCAGATCGACGAAGTCCAATGCTGAGGGGAGCAGCAGGAGAAGTCTGCCAGGCCATGTGAGTCACCTCCAGGGCAGGTGGGGATCAAACTCATGCGGAAGTGGCTTAAGCTTCTTAGTGCAGTGCTTTAACCCGCTGCGCCACCAGGGAGGGCCCATCAAAAATGTATTATCTTTTTTTAAAAAAGATTTATTTATTTATGCATAGAGAACTGTGGTACAGGCCAGAGATGCAGGGGCCGTGAGAGGATTCACCAGACATAGAGTGGGGAGCAGACAGGCAGATCAACGAAGTACACTGCTGAGGGGAGCAGCGGACCAGAGAGAACAGGTCTGCCGCCCCCTGTGAATCACCTCCATGGGCGGGGATCGAACTCTCCCCGAAGCTGAAGCTGCCGCTAGCTTCACAGTGCTGCACTTTAACATGCTGTGCCACCAGGGAGGGCCCACAAAATTTAGTATCTTAATTTAAAAACATTTCTAGAAAATTGGTAACATCAATTTTATGTTTCCTTGATAGTAATGCTTCCTTTGATATCTCTTTTGAAAAATGAAGGCAAAGTGTAAATGGTCTGAATTAGCCAGAAGAGCTTTGTAATGACTTCTTCTCTCTCCTATGGTTTTAAACTAACAGTACATGTTCTCCAGATTTGGCTTGGGAATCGTGTATCTGTCATACACAATTATGAAACAAACCAGTTTTAAACAAAAACACGATCCTTAAAAATCAAAAAGTAAAGTGAAACAAATGAACCTAATTTTACACCAAGTTTGTAGCTTACTCACCCAGAGAGCACTTATTTTTAAGTCTTTAATTAGGTGACTTTAATTAACTGACTTTATTTTAAGTGACTTTTTTCTCTGGTGGGAAAAACACAGTAGTTTTTAGTGGGGTATAGTGAAAGAACAGAAAAGAAATGTAAAGGAATATTACTGTTTTCACTAATTATGTTGTCAGTAACCTTGGTATAATTATTAGGAAGACATATATACACATTTGCAAACAATTGTGTTAATGTTAGGAATGAATATTTTCAGCTTAGGATACAAGATGCAAAAATATGAAACCAAAAATTAAAGGAAAATTCTAAAAATTTGAATTTGAATAACAAATAGCAGTATGATGTATTTCATTGCTAAACATATTAACTTCTTAGCTGAAACATAGTTTACACACAATGG